AGGGGTGAGGGAGCTGGGCACAGGGGTTGTCCCCCAGGACACCCAGCGGGGGCCAACAGGGGTGTCAGAGGAGGCTGAGAATGGCCAGCGGCACCAGCCAAGTGAAGACTGGAGGTCTGACATGCCTGACATGCACTCTTTAGTGTGGTGGGAGCCGGGTTAGGACTGGGGCGGCAGGGCTGAGGTGACCAGGGAGTGAGAAGCTCCTGTATTGTCCCCTGAGGGGCCTGGGGAGCAATGGAGCGGGTGGAGGGGTCAGATCTGAGGCTGCTGCGCGGAGGTCGGATTGGAACCCCCCAGCAGGGGACACACCAGACGGGATGGGCCCAGCCCTCAGCCTCCGCTGGAGTGAGGGGGCCGCTGGGAGGGACCCGCTCTGGGGGGGCTGCTGCAAGGCCCCTGCCCCTACTCTCGGCCACACTGTCCTCTTGCTCAGATCTACAGCCCCACGGCCAGCCTAGGTCTACTTGTCGATTCTCCTCTGTTAGTACCAGCCAGAACCATTGCACTGACCAGGGCAAGAAGGCTGAGGACTTGAATTTCTTCACTTCCCTTATGAATAGATACGGGGTTAAGCGGTGAGCATTTTCATCCACATACAGGGCTTAAATCAATACTTGACAATAATTGCTACCTAAACATCAGCCAGGATTATAAGACAGTGCCGGTTCTTTTTTTAAAGAAAATACTCTTTATTTGGCTGCACTGGGTCTTACTTGTGGCATGTGGAATCTTTAGTCCCCTGACCAGTGATCGAACCTGGGCCCCTTGCGTTGGGAGTGCAGAGTCTTAGCCACTGGACCCCCAGGGAAGTCTCTAGTGCTGGTTCTTGCCTGGAAAAGGAACCCTATTAGCGTGGGACTATTATGCCCATTGAGCAGATAAGGAAACTGAGGGTCTTGCCCAAGATCTCACTGCAAGTGAGTGGTTGGTTAGGACATCAATTCAACATCCTCCCGCCTGTTTTAGAGCATCAGGGCAGGGCTCAGATGATAATCAAGGGAAGAGGGGAGTCTGCTGTCTAGCCCAGGCCAGCTCTGATCAGAGAGGTCCAGAACGGTCTGGGGACCCACAGGAAGGTGCAGAAGGGGCAGGCCCTGCCCCCCGACAGCTGAGTCCAGTTGGGGAGGCACCGCTGGAACTGCTAACATGCAGTGCGGGCCTCACGCCCGAGCTGCCAGTCCTCACTGTCCCAGGTCAGGCACCGGCCCCGTAGGACTCAGGGACCCTCATCCTTTGGTACCCAAGGTGCCCAAGGATTCTAGGCACGTCTACTGGGAACCGAGGGATGTTGGGATAGTGGGTCAAGGTGAAGCTCAGGCCACGTGCCCAGTGAAGTCCCCTGGCGACCCCTTACCAGTGGGGCAAGGGTGTCCATGGGGGCACAAGCCATCTCTGGAAAGGGAACAGCCCCATGCAGAGGGGCTTGGAGGGGGAGTCGGGGGTAAGGGAGCAGGGAGACAGATGCAAATGAGGGCTGGAGCAGCTTTCCCTGGAAAATGGCCATTTGCATAGACACTCTGTGGCCTGGTGCCTGAGGGCAGCGAGAGCTCCTGGTCCAAGTTCCTGAAGTGCCCGCCTAGCACGAGGTCAAGTTCACTGGGCTTAGAGCCTGTTTAATGTTAAAGCCTGTCTCCATTTATCTGGATCTTTTAAGTCCTTTAATGGAATCTGTATTTATCCATAAAGGCATTTTGGGGGGGGTCACCCCCCACATTGCACAGTATGAGGGATCCTAATTACCCAACCAGGGATGGAACCCATGACCCCTGCAGTGGAAGCTGGGAGTCTCAACCACTGGATCGCCAGGGAAGTTCTTGTCCATACAGATTTTAAGCACCCTTTCTTAGATTAGAAAAAAAAACCTCATATTTCCTGATCAGAAACCTTATATTTCCACAGTTGTATTTACTGTCTACAATATTTTCAGGTTGTCTTGTAGGAATGCTCTTGATTTTTCTGTGTTGATCTAGCTTGTTAAGACTCATTTACGGGACTTCCCAGGCAGTCCAGTGGTTAAGACTCCATGGCCCAAAAAAGAAAGACAGAAGAAGTTTGTTGTTATCATTCTTTAGTAAGTTGTGTCCAACTCTTTTGCGACCCCATGGACTGTAGCCCGCCAAGCTCCTCTGTCCATGGCATTTCCCAGGCAAGGCTACTGGAGTGGGTTGCCATTTCCTTCTCCAGAGTGTCTTCCCTACCCAGGGATCAAACCTGAGTCTGCTGCATTGGCAGGCAGGTTCTTTACCACTGAGCTACCAGGGAAGCCTGAAAAAAAAGTCTCATTTACCATTTTCCCTATAAATCTAACTGAAGTCCACTCCCCTCCCTGACCATGGTGTCAATGCCCCTCCTTCCAGGGGGCTGACCGGGGAGCAGGATTTGTGACCCTAGTTCAGCATCCTCTAATCATAAGGGGAAGGGATAAGTCATCCCTGGCTACAAAAGTGGCTGCGAACCTTACTAGTTATGTCATCTACTCTTTCGGGCAGTGTGGCAGGTGGATCGAGACTCTCCTCATAGCTTTTAACTGATAGACCCCAGAACAAATGGGTGAAGATTTAGGCCCCGAATGGTACCTGTGCTGGGCATCTGTGTTGCTAACAGCCTTTTAGGGGTCTTAGAAAAGCCCCCGGGACCCCCCGTCTGTGTGTGCTGGCCTGCTGGCTTGCAGCGGGCTTGGGCTGGGGGTGGCTGGCGGCGGGGGCAGCCTGCTTTTAACACTTTGCCCGCAGGTGCCCCCAGCAGGTGGCTGCACCCCTCCCCTTGCCCTGCCTTGGGTGCCAGGGGCCACCCTGCTGGCTCCACCCACCTGGTCTGACCTGACAGCGCCTTTCAGCCCATGGGGGAAGGGGCTGTCCTGACAGGTGCGGCTGGCATATGTCAGGCCGGGGCTCTTTTGTGGCCCTTGTGGCTGTGTTTACACGTCAGCTCTCCCCAGCCCCAGTGTCCGCGACATGCCTTTCACGTCGGGCTTTCATCTGGAACAGATGTAAAACTGTTTCTCTCCTAGGAGACTGAAGCAGCCCGCTCCCTTTGATGCAGACTCTGGCCGTGTATTCTCTGTGGAACAATGCTGTCCTTATGCGATTTCTTTCTCAAAGGCCAGGGTGCCCCAGACACCCAGATACCTGTCTGCGCCATCCGATGATGTCATGTCCATCTCTGCGTGCAGTTTGGTTGCATTGTTGAGAATGACTTGTCTAGACTCGCCCGGCGACACCTGGAGGACCCAGGAAGCTAACCTGCCAGCCCACGAGCCCCTGCGCTCTTTGCGTTTCCAGCCGTCACCCTTTGCCGCGGGAAGCACGTGGTGCGCTGAGTGTAGCTCTGCCTCTTAGCCGCAGTCAGGAGTGAACACTGGTCCACCCTGGCCTGGGGAGCTGGAGGCCTGGGTGTGAACCAGTTGATTACTGACACAATTAATTTTTTTTTGGGGGGGTGCCACATCCATGGCATGTGGGATCTTGGTTCCCTGACCAGCAGTGGAACTGGTGCCCCCTGCAGTGGAAGCACAGAGTCCTAGCCACGGGACTCCAGGGAGGTCCCTACCATTAATTATTATTGAAAGAATAATGCAGTGAGGTCCAGAGGTCACAACTGCTGCTCCCCACCAGGCTCTGCTCAAAGTATTAGTACTTGGGACACCCCTGGTGGTCCAGCGGTTAAGAGTCTGTCTTGCGGTGCAGGGGATGGAGGTTCATTCCCTGCTCGGGGAACTAAGATTCTACATACCTTGGAGCAACTAAACGGGCACGTTACAACTAGACAGTCAGAGCACCGGAATGAAAGATCCCACATGATACACCGAGACCCAACACCGAGCCAAATAAATGAATCAATGTTTTCAAAAATGTTTTGACACTGAAAGGAGGTTCCTTCATCCCCCAGCAGCCTAGTGGGGGGGCTCCGGACATCTTACAGATGAGAAAACTGTGACATCACACAGCTCCTGAGTGGAAGAGCTGGGATTTGAACTCGGGCCCTTTGGTTCTTCATTGTGTTCTGGAGCGAAGGCTGTTTGATACTGCGTGGGGTAAATTCTGGTGAGCACCATCATAGGCCTAACCAGCTGTCACACGTGATGATGTAAACAGAGCTGCCCAGTCCGTGTCTGCTCCCTTTCAACCCCCAGGTCAGACTCTGAGACCTTGTTGACCGGAAGTGGGTTACAGGCCCACCACTAGCTGCAAGGCATGCCTGGGAAAGTGAGAACAAAAGTATTAGAAGTGGCGTAGGTGACACACGTCAGGGCCGCCCCAGTGGAAGCTAGTTCTATCAGCAAGGAGCCCGGGTGTGACGACTGGAAAAACCACGGCTTTGATATACGTCAATCTCAATCTCCCAGTTCATCCAACCCCACCCCTAGGAGTGATCCCGGTTTTGAAAATGTGTGTGCTATGCTGTGCATGTGTTTAAAAACTGACACTATCTCTCTGGCAATTGGGATTGTGAATGACTTTTCCTTGCTTAGCCTATGATATTTGCCTCTTTCTGCTTAGGGAGAGTAGCAGTAGGAAGCTGGCAGAACCCAAGGAATTGGCACTCTGGATGGAGCCCAGCCTTAGTCCACTATGACACCAGACATGTGGAGTTTTTTGTTTGACTATAAGCCTCTTGGGGACAGCATCAGAGCCTTGCATTTATAGTCCAATTTCCTCTTTTTGGGGTGGCCACACCATATGACTTGCAGGATCTTAGTTCCCCGACCAAGAATTGAACCCGGGCCGTGGCAGTGAAAGTATCAAGTCCTAACCACTGGACCACCAGGGGAGAAGTCCCTGATTCTCTTTTCACAAAGGAAGAAGGCAAGACCCCTTATAAATCTTCTCCAAATCCCTGAGAGATGGATGAGAGAGAACAGAGAGGCATGGTGATCCTCCCAGAGGCACACAGCAGAATTCATGCCGGGGGCAGCTGGGGTAGAGGGAAGATGACTAGTAAGTGATACCCCAGATCGCACACTTCTGAGCATCCAGTCCTTGTCTTTTTTTTTCCAGAGAAGAAATGTATCAAGCAAGACCCCTCTCTAGGAACCTCTTTTTGTACACCTTCCTACAAAACCATGGCCCAGGCTTCCTGGACGACCAAGACTCAGGGCTTCCCGGCGTGACCAGTATCTTGGAGTTCCACCCCGTCTCCCCCTACAGGTAGGTCCCAGAAGCCTCTGGGCCTGGCCCACCCCCGTTCCTGGTCAATGACTGTGGCAGGCGGTTAGCAGAGTCCTCTGCGTTCTCCGGGCAGGGCTGCGGAGTGGAAATTCCCCAGGTGTGATCACGGAGGCAAGCGCCCTGGGCGGAGCTGCTCATAGAGGAACCCCTCTGAGCATCCAGCATAGTCAGTCCCAGGACCGCCGTGCGGTGCTGGCCATCAGAATGACTCAAGCTCGTGGCCTTGACGGAGTGCCTCCTGGCCCTTCTGACCACAGTCACGTCAAGGCCTCATAAAAGATGGATTTGATTTTAGAGAACCAGAAGGAGGTGGCTTCAGATGCAGTTCCCAACCCTGGCGTTCAAGGCAAGGAGGAGGAGACTGTCCCAGCATCAGTGCCAGGGTACTAGAGGCTTCCCTCCCACTTCAGGCCTCAGAAAACTCTTAGCCATTAGACCTTGGACTTGGGCTTGGGGCTGGTCCGGATCTTAGGGATGGAGGGACTTGGAAGCCCCCTTCCCCTCCCTGTAGGTGGAGTTGGGGGCAGTGTTGCCCTGACTTCAGCCTGCCACCTGATTGCCCGCCAGCCCTCCCTAGCGTCACCGTCCCCGCCTTCCCACCCCACCCCCCACCCCCGCCCAGACTGGGCAGGTGGCCGGGGCTAGGCTGGGAGGGACTTGGAGTCCGGGGAATTTCCAGCCAAGTCACCGGGTTGGAATGTGGGCAGCCCCCCCGGGAGCAAGGCTGAAGCCAGCCCAGGTGCCCAGGGTGTGAATGTGAGCATCTCCGTTTCCATCAGGGAGTCAGTGGTGGGGGAGGGCCAGGTAGCCCCTCCTTTCTCAGAAGGGGTGGTGACATCATGGGTGGGCTCGGGATTAGGGACCCGGAACACGTCCCAGAGCTCCTCCCTGCACTCTCTGGGGCGCTCGGATTACCTTGTAGGGGAAGGGAGGCTAACTGCTGCCCCAGGCATTGAGTATCTCTCTGCCCTCCCACAAGCTGGGGGGCAGGGGGCAGGCTCCACCGGGGCAGCCCCCTCCCCAGGGTCCAGCACCTGTGCTCCAGGGAGCCCCCTGGGGATGGGACCTCCCCGGCTTCTTCTGAAGCAAAGTAGAAGCCAGAGGTGGGGGCGGGTGAGGGTTCCCTGCGCCCACCCTGGTGGATCTGGGGGCGGATCTGGGGGTCTGGGGGCATGGGGTCACCAGCCCAACACCCCCAGGTCCCTTTCCTTGCCTCCCGCAGTGACAGTCCACACTACCTGGCCATGCAGCTGGCCTCCATTGCCGACGAGATGGAGCTGAGGTTGCTGCTGCCCCAGTTCGATGAACCGTTCTGGATGACCACGTACAGGTGCCAAGCCCCCGCGGGCCCAGGACGCCCGTAGACCAGGGCTGGCCCCTGCGGCTCCACTCATGGCGGGGGAGCCCGGAGCTCAGAGCCCCGTAGTCCCTGGAGCTGGCCTGGGCTACAGACCCCAGTGCCCTTCTCTCCTCCATCCTCAAGCCGACATGGCCCCTTTCCAGCAGGGTCTTGACTGAAGACGACAGGAAGTGCTCAGGGAGCCGGGATGGAGCTCCGTGCCCAGCTTTACGGGCAGAGCCTTCTGCGTGGGGGAGGGGGTTCTTGCAGGAGGACTCAGCTGCCAGCATTTGCCAGCTTCCCTGCGGGTTCTCAGAACCTCGCAGACTTGCCTGGGTGAGACCAGAGAGAGCCTTGACTACCGAAGACCAGGATGCAAGCTGGCAGGGGCTCTTGGTGTCCAGGGAGGCAGCCTGCCTCGGAGGGGCCCTGGCCTCTCTCGGAACACAACCCCTCTGGGACGCAAGTCCAGATCCCCACCGGGGTGAATTTAGAACCAGAGGGCCGGGTGACAGTGGGTGGGAGGGGACAGGCCCTCTCCTCCCCAGCAGTCACCTGTGGGCCCCCTCTGGCCCCTGTTCCTGTCTAACGGCCCTGCCCCCTTTTCTGTCTTGCAGCTTGTTTTTCCCCTACAGCCACGTAGGGCTCAGGGATGTTCTGAGAAGCCTTATGGCTGCTTTCACCAACCTCAGGGAGAACCGAAGGCTCTGGAGCTTCCTGACTCTCAGGGACCGGGTAAGCGAGCCTTGAACTCCTGACCTTGATTTCCGTCCGGCGCGTGGTGACCGCTCTGGAGCAGCTGCGCGGGGCTCGCCCTCTCTGGATGTCACTCCCGACTGTCTTGTCTTGCCCGCTCCCCCCATCCTCTACTACGGCCTGGTCCCCAGGGGCCTCTGGGTTTGAGGCTGTGGTTCATGGGCTGGATGCACGCATCTGCTTCCTCACCTGGGCTGTGTTTTCCCCCTCTGCCAGGAATTGCCTTCATCGGGCAGACTGGCTGCTCACAGTTGCCTCTTGTCCCCACGAGCAGCTTTCCGGACCCCTCCCCTTCCCTCCCTACCAGTGCAGCAGAAGCCCCAGTCCATCCTGTCCATACCACACCGGTTCTCCCAGCAGACCAGCAGCCCCCAGTGGGCTGGCCTCCTCTCCTGCCACATTCTTGAGGCCACGGTCCGCTCCTACCTCTCCTGTGTTTCCCATCTTTCCGGTCACCCCGCCCCAGACCCCTCCAGTCCTTCCTGGGGCCCCCAGATTACCCGATGACTCCCCGCACCATCCCCGTTCCCACCCTCGCCTGGCTGGTTCCCCGTGTCCACGGGGCAGGGGGTTGAATGGGCGGGCCTGCTGCCCACTGGAGGTCCTCACCTGTCGCCACCTTCATCCCACAGGTGTCGCCCAGCCTGTGGCCCGAGCTGGCGCTTTCCCTGCTGGTGGTGGCGATGCTCAGCTGGGGGTGCCGCCTCCACTGACCGAGCAGCTGGTCAGTGTGGGGGTGGGGCTGGCCCCTCCCCCTCGACCACCACCCTGGCGGTGGCCCGTTTTTGGTTTTGTTGTCTTTTAACTGTTTTCCGATGATGCTTTTTTTTTTTCTTTTTTAATATTTAAACTCTGAGTGCTGGGACACTGAGGTTCATACCAGTTTTTTTTCTTGTGTTTTTTTTTTGTAAGAGAAATGAATTTATTATACCTCTGGGGTCGTTACTGGTTAATGACCTGCTCTCCCAGCCCCAGCCGGCTCTGCGGTGGCCTGTCCTGAGACGGAGCCTCCCTCTCAAGGGTTGGTCGAACAGGGGGCGGCGGGGGGAGTGCTGGTCACACCCCCGTGTCTGGGATGCCCGTGGCACAGAGAATCTGCTGGAATAGATTTCTGCGGGGCGAAGAGAGCTCAATAAAATGTTGCTTTCCAGCCAGTCTGTGGTCCTGTCTGGGGGTCGGTGGGCTGCATCCTGCTGGTGGGGTGTGGGGGAAGGCAGGGCATGTGCCGGGTCACCAGTGCGCCTGTGGTACCGCCCGGCTCCCAGCTCCTTCCTGCACCTTCCACGGCTGGCGTGCTCCTTGGCCCGCACGAGCGGGATTACTCCCTCATCATGCCTTGGTGCCTGATGCCGGCCATTAGGGACTCCTTCCTTTGGGCTGTCGGTGCCTCTTACAATTGGGCAGCCTGCCCTCCTCGCATCTGCTCATCCAGGGCTCCCCGCGGGGGTGCAGAGAGGGGGCTGGGCAGGGGCACCCGGGGCAGGAAGCTGGGCCTGCACCCTGCGGGCTCAGCCCACCCCAGACCTGGCCTGGAGGTGGTTTCTAGACCCTGCGAGGCGGGCCCTCTTTCCCCTGGTGCTGTCTCTCCCCACCCCCTTGTGCCAGCCCTGGGCTAGGGTGAGCCACCTTCCAGCTCCCCCACCCCCGTTCCATTCCCCGGCCCCCAGCATCTTCTGCAGTCTCGTCCTCCACCCGCTCCAGGACTCAGGGATGGTGAGTCTTACGCTCACCCCCATTTGGCCCTGGAGCTGACCCAGCAGGTGCAGCTACCCCCCACCTTCTAGCAGGCTGGTCAGACCCTGCCTGCTCCACCGCACACCTTCCAACCCTCATGACTGAAGGGACCGCCTCGCACCCAGGCCTTACTCTCCCCAAGGTCTGGCCCTCCACGGTTTTGAGACTGGACTTCACTCTCTTTCCTGTAAGGTGTCACCATGTCAGGCCCTGAGAACCTCACGGTGGGGCTGGGGGGTGGAGCCCAGAATCTCCCAGTTCCCAGGCAATGGCTGGGATGCCCCATCTGTGCAGCCAGCTTTGTCTGGAGAGCTCACTTTCCAGTCCAGACTAGTACCACATTCCCACCAAGCTTGTAGACCCGGGAGCGACCCCAGGGCTCACCCTGTGTGACCTACTGACTCCTAGGCCCAGGGACCCACTGTAGAATGGCTAGGGATGTGGCAAGGCCAAATCCAGAGGTGCCTCTTCCAGGAAGTCCTCCCAGCTTGTTCCATCTTGAGTTCTCAGGACAAACTGCCCACCCCGCCGTGTAACCCATGTGGATGCCCATGCCTTTTCAAGGAGTTTGGGGCTCCTCAGAGGAGAGGGGACCGGAAACACAGTATGGAGCCTCCAGGTGTGGCTGATGCTAGCTGGGCAGAATTCAGGGATACTGTTTGCCAGGGTCATCCTGTCCTGGGGTTTGCAACATTCTTTCCGTCTGTGGTATCAGGAGCCCCGACTCCATTATATCAGCCACTGGTGTAGGTTCTGGGGATATAAAAAAGGCAGAGATCCCTGCCTCAGATCTCACATTCTCTTTAGGAAGGGAAAAGATGCACATTCATCAGCTAAGAGTACTGTCTGGCGTGTGCTGAGGGCACTGGGGGACTGAGAAAACGCTGGGGCCTGCAGAGGGTGAGGCGAGTCCTTTCCGAGGAGGGGCTGGGGGAGCTGGACTGCAGTACAAAGACTCTGGGGTGGGGACGGGCTGGGGCGTGGAGGCAGAAGGGCCAGCGTTGGCCTCACTGTGTCTCCCAGTTCATGCCAGCCCGGGCCTGGGTTAGCTGCCGGCTGCAGCTCTAGCTCCAACGCGGCACTTGACCTTCTGAGCCGATGCAGATCTGGCTGTGGAGGGCCAGCACTTCACTCCCCGTCCACCTGGACAAGCCCCCAATGGGGGAAACTGAGGCCCAGAGGCAGGGGACTTGACCAAGGTGGCCCAGACTTCCATCACCCTAGGATCCTCCAATCTAATCAGACTGGGATCCAGAGTGAAACCCGCTCTGGCTGCTCCAATGTGGCAGTTTCCAGAGGAGCAGAGGAGCTGAAAGCGGTCTCAATCCAGAAATGACTCTCCAGTTTCCAAAAGGGAGAGCCGGCTTGTCCCTGTCAGGCAGAGGGCAGGGTGACATTCGGTTACCCACTGGCCATAGGACTCCTACTGGGCGGCCCCTGAGACAAAGAGCTGCACCCGGAGGAGCAGCGAGGCCGGCAGCCTGGACGGCCCGCCCTCCACCGCCCACCCGTGGGGCTGTGCCCCTCAGAACTGCCCGAGGCACAGCCAAGTGCCTGCGCCTGGACTGGACTGCTGAGATGGCATGGTCTCCCAGGCTGCCTGTCACTGACAGCTCTCAGCCAAGGGGGACCCAGCACACTCAGCAACTGATCACAAAGTAACGAGGGCTTCCCTAGGGGCTCAGGGGTAAAGAATCCGCCTGCCAGTGCAGGAGATGGGTAGGATCCCTGATCTGGGAAGATCCCACATGCCAAAACTCCCGAGCCCATGCTCCGCAACAAGAGAAGCCCCCGCAGTGAGAGGCCCGCACACCCCAACTAGAGAGTAGCCCTCTTTCACGGCAACTAGAGAAAGCCTGTGCAGCAATGAAGACCAAGAACAGCCAAAAATAAATAAAATACAAACTAACAAAGTTCTTTGTGAAGATCTGAAATTCTCTAACAAAACAAAGGAGATCCAAGCAGTCCATCCTAAGGGAAATCAGTCCTGAATATTCATTGGAAGGACTGATGCTGAAGCTGAAACTTCAATCCTTTGGCCACCTGATGGGAAGAACAGATTCACTGGAAAAGACCCTGATGCTGGGAAAGATTGAAGGCAGGAGGACAAGGAGATGACAGAGGATGAGATGGTTGGATGGCATCACTGACTCAATGGACATGAGTCTGAGTAAACTCCGAGAGTTGGTGATGGACAGGGAGGCCTGGCGTGCTGCAATTCATGGGGTCACAGAGTTGGACATGACTGAGCGACTGAACTAAACTGAATAAAACAAAGTTTGAAGAAATAGTTCTTCATTGTGCTCCAAAGAGCATGCAAACCTAGGCCTTGGTGAAACAAGGATCTGTGGCAGTGATTCTCAGCTGTGGGAGGGCTGTGGACACGGGTGGGCGTGTCTGGGGTCACAATGACCAGAAGTGCGACTGGAATGGAATCACTAGGTGCCAGGACAGCAGCCCACGAGCACATGACCATCCCACACAGTGAAGGCTGGTTCTGCTCAAAGACCAACAGCACTCTAGTTGAGAACCACAAAATTAAAAATGAGAGACCCTTAGGAGCTTGGGGTTCGCAGATACAAAGTGCTGCATATAAAATAGATAAAACACAAGATCGTACCGTACAGCACAAGCAACGATATTGTTATCCTGTGACTAAACCATCATGGAAAGGAATATGAAAAAGAATGTATATATATTAATATATGTAACTGAATCACTTTGCTGTACCCCAGAAATTAATACAACAGTGTAGATTAACTAGACTTCAATTAATTAAAAAAGAGACACCCTACCCAGGGTTTGACGCATGCCTACACGACAGTCACGTTTAAACCCGAGCTCAGACATTTCATCCCCAGTGAGATTTTCCCAGTATCATTGTGTAATGAAAAAGCCACCCTGGAAGTTGAGAACTGATCGCATTTAATACTGACATTAGGAGCAGGCCCCTGCGGGTGCTCCTGTTGTGGAGCAGACTGAGGATACGCTCAGAGGGCGGCCCAAGCTGGACGCGGCCCTGGGCACACAGCAGGCACGCTGACTGCAGTTGAAGGGGTGACGTGGGGGTGGGGGAGGACGCATGGCCCCCAGCTGCCCTTCCCACGCCGCTCCCGCCTCGCTAAAGGACCTTCCTCCCCACCAAGGCAGACGCCACTCGCTCCCTGGCACGCAGTAGGCACTCGAGGCTTTCTGTTGGGAAGTAAACACATGGGGTACCATCTCCCAACTGTTGAGTGATGGGGACAGAATGGCTGCCAAGGCCCGCTGGGTCCTAAAGCCCTTTGGATTCAGGGGGCACAGGCGCTAAGGTTTTGGCTGCATCGTGTCCAGAGGAGGCTGGGCCAGCAGAGGAGGGTGTCTGGTGCTGGCCTCAAGCCATGGCCCACGGCGCCCACACGGCCGCAGGCCAGGCCTTCCCGGGCCTCAGAACACTTCCGCCTATGGAGGAGCCGCCTGGGGCCTGGGGAGGCGACGTGGTCTGCCCAGGAGGCAGGGGTGGTACCCACCAGTCTGCACAGAACCAGCACATTGCAGCTCCCCAGCGCTCAGACATGTTTCAAGGGCGGGAGAGACGGACACCGGCGTGTGAAGAAACACTCGTTTCTAGTGCTTTCCACAGGGCATTCAAAGCACACTACCCTCCCGCTCATGTGGAGGCGGCGGCCTGGCAGGAAGGCCAGGCTGGGCTCAGCTCCCCGGAGCCCGAGTCCTCCTCGGACACAGCCCGTCCACGCCAGGGCCCTACAGCGGCTGCTCTGGGTCCTCGTCGGCCTCCAGCACCTCCACGTGACTGTAGGACCTCCAGGCCTGCAGGTTACAGCTCTTGAGGATGGTGCCCAGCTGCTTCCCGGGCCCCACCTCGAACGTCCGGGGGAACGCGGTGCCCTTCTTCCTCTCGTATATGGCGTGCATCGTCTGCTCCCACTTCACCGGGGAGACCAGCTGCCGGACCAGCAGTTTCTGGATGTGTTTGGCATGCATGTATTTGTTCCCGTCGACGTTCGAGTGCACGGAAACCAGGGGCTTCTTGACATCAATTGCCTTTAACACCTGCGCCAGAGGCTCCACGGCTGGCTCCATGAGGCTGGTATGGAACCCACCGCTAACTGGCAACATCTTGGTGCGTCTGAAGTGATACTTAGAGGAATTCTTCTGGAGAAACTGCAGAGCCTGGGAGAAACGAGAAGGGAGGTGTAAGCCAAGGGAATTTCAGGGGAAGAAACATGCAGCGAGGCGGTCACCACTGACCAACGTCATCAGTCCTCCGTAGAGAATATGTGTATCTCTACACACCCATGCGTGTATTTCACCCTGCACAGTTGCAAAGTCGGTGTCCCGGAAGCCCCTCTGACCATTTGCATGCCCCGCCAGGGTAGGTGACCACCCTGGGCCTCAAAGAGAGCTGAGGCCGGGAAACGCAGTCCTGTCCCAGCTCCGTCACTCACTGGCTCAGTGGCCCCAGGCAAGTCTCTGAACTTCCTTTATTCCATCCGTGAAGTGAGCACAATTTCATCTACTTCATAGACTGCTGGGAAGTGACCAGACAGGAGGTGTGGAAGGATCTGATACACAATAAAAGCGCCATCTAATCCTGCTACTCATCATAACTGCTAAAGCTTGTTTCCTTGTTACTCCGTAAACTTCAAGATGACAATTCAAGAGGCTCCGAGTCTCATCTCACAATCCAGGGTCTGAAAGCTCTCATCTGGGGCCTCTCTAGAGAAGACCAAAGTCTCCTTCCCTGCAGCCTGAAGTCTCTCCCCAAAGGCTCCTCTGGGACTAACAGGCCCAGACTCAGAACCACAACATACTTGGCAAGTATCTTTAAAACAGTGTATATTTTAAGAGATCCTGCGCCCTAAGGACACAGCCCAAGGCCTACGACCCTGACAGCCCTTCCCCAGGATCCAGCAAAGGGCTTCCTATGCACTAAACCGTCTGCTGCGTCCCTCCAACCTGACGCCACCCATGGCCTGCTCAGAAGCTGGGCCAGCTGATCCCAAAGACTCAAGGAAAGTCATGGGAGCTGAACGACCTTGGGAAGTTTTGCTTTCTCCATCTCTACCTCAATTTCCTCACCTGCAAAATAGTTATCTCAGGACTGCGATAACAACCATGCCTCGCATACAAGCCCTACAAAAGGGTTAGCAATTACTGCCTTGTTACCGAGCCCTGGGATTGGTAACACGAAAAAATACAGCTGGGTAGCTCTCTGTGCCCACAAAGGGGAGATGGGGCTAATATTTTCAGTTGGATGGTGCTTGTTTGGCCCGCTCCATGGGCCCCGCCCTGCAGGAATGCAGCCTGTGCCCAGGCAAGGCCGGTGCAGCCCGTGGCTCATAAGAGGTCACTAGCCTGTGCCCCGAAGTCTGTCTATTCCACACCAAGGTCACTGAGCTGTCTGAGCCCTGGAGCAAAAGCCACGTGGAACAGAGCCCAGCACAGCGAACCGTCACGGAGGGTGATGTACGGGTATGGGCAACACAGAGGGGGCTGGGCTGTCACTGCAGCAGAGACCAGCCTGACCTGGTGCTTTCACGCCCAGGACCACGCTCCACCCGTCTCCATCACCCCGAGGGATGTGCCTCTGGTGCGTCTCACAGCGGCCTCGTGGACTCCACAGCCCAAGCCCTTTCCACCTCACCTGCAGCTGTCTGATCACCGGCCCCTATGGAGACAGCTACTCAAAGGCACCTCCTGCATCACGGCCGGGGTCTAAGTCTTTCTGGGGGAAGTCTCTGGACTCACTCCACTCGAGTTCCAGGCGTCAAGGCCACAGTCCCAGAGTCCAGAGGCTCCTGTGCCTGGCGCTCAGCCCAGGCCCGGGTCTAGCAGAGGGCAAGCTGTTCCACATCGACCGCTGGGAAGAGCTCCGCTGCCCGGGGGGCCTGCTGCACCCGAGCTCTTTGCTACAGTACTTCCCGTGGCACCAAAAGGCTGAATCTGGGAAGCCTGGGAGTCGCCACCTGGACTGGATGCCCACCTGTCTGGGAGCCCGAGAGGGAGACACCTGCCCCTCCTGGCCCATTCCAGGCTTCCTTCTAAGGTTACTAGTGGGGATGAATAGCCAGCTCTGTGATGAACTTGGGGCCACTGCAGCTGATCTTCCCGTCATCTCAGAAGGGCCCTAGGAGGAACCCGCTGGCTCTCCCTGATTCAGAGAAGATACAGAAGGATCCCTGTACACCAGCCGGCAAGGCCTCACCGAGGGGAGGCGCCCAGCACGGCTGAGTGTAGAACAGACGTGAGCCCTCCTCCCGCCTCCACCAGCACGGGCGCTGGCCTCTCTGTCTCAGCTTCCTGTAGCTAAGCCACCCTGGTCAGAACACAGGACCAGCCCTGAGGACTGGATGAGCTGAGCCAAGACGGGGCAGCACCAGCCTGACTTCTGCACCCCACAGGCCCCAGCCGGGCTCACAGAACTACCCCTTCTGTTCGGGGCGCCTCCTGGCCTGGGATGCCCCTGCTCTTGGCAACCCCACCCTCTGTGCAGTGCCTCCTGGGGCCGCATCCTTGGGCCATCTGGTAGCCAGCCTGACCCCTACAGTGCCCTGAGACCTGGAGTCTTCCGTTCACAGCCAGCCTTCCTTTGACGGCAGGATCCCTGGCTGATCTGTGTGTCCTCTACCCGAGAAAGGATGTTGGCAGTGGGTGGAAGGATGGACAGAGGAAAGGGTGCAAAAACAGACACCTCAGGAAAAGCAGAGCAGGGCAGAGCAACCCAGCAGGAGACAGCTGCTCCTCTGAGGACGCGAGGCGATGAGAGGCTGTGAGGAGGCCAGAGCGTATCACAGAGAGGCCCTGCTGATGACTCGGTTCAGCCCCTTTACCTTCCACGTGGGCTGGGGATTTGCCCAGGGTCCCGTCTTCCCTCATCCCTGGAGCACGTGGCGGAGTGGGGACACTACCCAGCCTCTCTCTGGAGCGCTCGCTCCACCACACACGCCGGCCCTCAGATACTTCCCAATACCAGGGCTGAGCAGAGCGCCCACTAGGCTCGGCGGGCCGCCGGGTACGCAGTAATTCCACCTTCTGCACCGGACCGGGCTCTAGGAAGGCTGCTCCCACCAACACCAACCTCCAGGTGTCCTGAGATCACCCTGCAGTCAGGAAAGAGGTAGTTGGACACCTCGCACACAGGGTTCTCTATGCCCCGAGTCCTGCAGTGTTCCTGGGCTTCCAGACAGGCGACGGTGAACTTGGACTGACGCTGGCCAAGGACGGAAAGCATACCACTGGGGACGGCTTCCGAGGCTTCCTGCATGGCCTCAGCTCGAATTTTCACTGCATACAGACCTACGTGGAGAGAAGTACATTTGGAAAAATCAGGGCACGTGATGGAGAAGGGAAGCCCAGACCTGAGGAACAAAGCGAACTGCACGCTGTGCGCTGCAGACGCGGGCACTGGGGTCCATCGCCAGCCTGCAAGCCGCCGCTCTAAGGACCCGACTGCACAGAGACGGTCCCCAACCAGCAGGGAGCAAGGCACAGTCCCGGCACAGTATGGATGAACCCACAGAGCTGCCTGCCTGACAGCTGGCTGGTGCAGGACGGCGGTTCTTAAACACGGTAATTCCCCCCAGGGCGGTGTCTGGAAACAGCTTTTGATCATCGGGGTGGTGGTGGGGGCCACTGACATCTAGTGGGCACAGGCCAGGCATGCGGTTCAACAGCCTACGATAAACAGCCTCCAAGTAAGGGTCATCTGATCCAAAACGTCAATAGTGCTGCTGAGAAGCCCTGGCACTTTGAGCTGCATCACTTAAAGGAAATCACGACCTCCTTCTAGGCCAAATTTCTTGCTAGTACAATGAAGATAATAATATCTAGCCTGCCTGAACTGTAGTGAAAACTGAGAACTACAAATTATTTCAGAGAAACGGCACTGAACAAGGAAAATAATTAAGAATCTTTAGATGCTTGGAATAATGTACAAACTACAAACAAGTACATGAATTTTAATAACATAATTATCATAAATCAAGCATGACTGCCCTCACTGGAGAGCTCGACACTGGCAAGGCAGATGAGCTAGAAAGCAGGGCTCCGGGCTCAGTGTGGCTCAAGTATGAAGTGGGAGGACAGGGCTGTGTGCCCGGGGAGGCAGCTCCCGTGATCGTGATGTGAGAATGGACTGAACACGATTCACAACAGCCAGGACACGGAAACAGCCCGTGTCCACAGGTGAACGGATAAAGAAGACGTGGTGCATATATATACAATACAGTGCCACTCAGCCACTAAAGAGAATGAAATAAAGCCATCTGCGGCAACATGGATGGACCTAGAGACTACCATGCTAAGTGAAGTAAGTCAGAAAGACAAGTACCATATGGTATCAGTCACACGTGGAATCTAAAATACGACACAGGGGGACTTCTCTGATGATTCAGTAGTTAAGCATTTGCCTTCCAATGCCAGGGACGCAGGTCTGAACCCTGGTAGGGCAACTAGCATTCCGCATGCGGCAGGGCAACTAAGCCACAACTAGAGAGACGCCCACGCGCCATAACAAAGAGCTGATGCAGCCAAAAATAAATAAATAAAATATGAAAACAACAACTAAAAAGACCCCAACACCAATGAACACGCCTCAGAAACAGACTCAGATACAGAGAACAGACCACTTGTGGCCGCCAAGGGTGAGGGGAGGTGGGGCAGAGGAGGACTGAGAGTTTGGGACTCGCAGACGCCAACTATGATGCACGGGGACACACGCAACATCCTGTGATAAGCCACAGGTAAATGAAGATGAAAAGGTATGTATGTATAACTGAATCACTTCACTGAAGAGCAGAAGTTGACACAACATTGTAAATTCACTATAGTTCAGTAAAAAGTGAAGAAAAAAGAATGGACTGCAATTACTGGATAGCATCACCCTGGTCCTGGGCCTGCTCCCTGGTGGGGAAGAGATGATCAGACCAAGAAGCAGTTAAGGGACAAGTCCAGGGTTTGATGGGACAACAAGGTCAGAGGAACAAACCCTGCACCCTTTCTCTCAACACATCTTCATTCTCCCAGCACTGTGTATGTCTGTGCTGGAGTTTTAGCCCCTTACACAAGCAGAACTGTGGAGGAAACACATTAAGAGCCCGTGTTAGGAGGCAGGAGAGCATACACAGAAACGTGGATACCTTCCCAGGCAGGCATTAGATAACTGCAAACTGTCAAGTGAAAAAACACATGTCAATAATTCTGCAAATTTTGTACACATTCAACTATATTTCTATAAAGTATCTTTATTAGGATGAAGAAATATGAAAAATTTTTTCACTTTCTTGACCAGGCTTTCTTTCTATAATGCATTTTTAAAAAAGAGGTGAAATTCACATAAAATATAACCAGTTTTGAGTGCACAAATGCAGCGGTATTTGTGGTATCCAGAATGTACAGGACCTTCCTGGTGGTCCAGTGGTGAAGAATCCACCAGCGCAGGCTGGGACACAGGTTCAATCCGTGGTCTGGGAAGCTTCCACATGCTGTCAGGCAGCTAGGCTTGTAGGCAGCAGCTACTGAGTCCACACCCCAGAGCCGGTGCGCCGCAACTGGAGACAAGCCCCGTGCAGCAACAAAGACCCGGCACGGCCAAAAACACCTTCCCATCAGCCCACAAACACCCCACCCGCACCGAGCAATCGCTCTCCATTTCTCCTTCCCTCCACCCACTGTAACCTCTAATCTGTTGTCTCCATGAATTTATGTATTCCGGACATTTCATATAAAAATAAGTGAGTTTTGTGTCTGGCTTCTGTCACCTAGCATGTTTCTGATGTTCATCCACACTGCCACATCAGTATTTTCTTTCTTTTTATGGCTGAATAATATTCCACTGGTTCAATCTAACACAATTTGTTTATCCACTCATCTGATTATGGACATTTGGATCATTTCTACCTTTTGGAAATTAATATGAATAACACTGTTACAAACATCTCTGTACAAGTTTTCCAGTGTGGACATGTGTTTTCATTTCTTAGGTACAGACCTGTGAGCAGAACTACTGGGTCACAAAGTAATTCCATGTTTAACTTGAGGACCCACCAAACTGTTTCCACAATGGCTGCATTGCTTTATATTTCTTCAGTGTGTGAGGTTCCTACATCCTTCCCAACACTTACTATTTTCCTCTTGTTTTTTAAATTAAAGCCATCCTGGTGGGCATGAAGTGGTACCTCACTATGGTTTTGATTTGCATTTCCCTAATGGGTGGTGGTCTGGCATTCCCATCTCTTTAAGAATTTTCCACAGTTTGTTGTGATACACACAGTCAAAGGCTTTGGCATAGTTGATAAAACAGAAGTAGTTGTTTTTTTGGAACTCTCTCACTTTTTTAATGAACCAACAGATGTTGGCAATTTGATCTCTGGTTCCTCTGCCTTTTCTAAATCCAGCTTGAGCATCTGGAAGTTCATGGTTCACATACTGTTAAAGCCTGGCATGGAGAATTTTAAGCATTACTTTACTAGCATGTGAGATGAGTACAACTGTGTGGTAGTCTGAGCATCTTTGGCATTGCCTCTCTTTGGGACTGGAATGAAAACTGATCTTTTCCAGTCCTGTGGCCACCACTGAGTTTTCCAAATTTGCTGGCATACTGACTGCAGCACTTTCACAGAATCATGTTTTAGGATTTGAAATAGCTCAGCTGGAATTCCATCACCTCCACTAGCTTTGCTCATAGTGATGCTTCCTAAGGCCCACTTGACCTCATATTCCAGAATGTCTAGCTCTAGATGAGTGATCATACCAGCATGATTATCTGGGTCATGAAGATCTTTTCTATATAGTTATTCTATGTATTCTTGCCACCCTTTCTTAATATCTTCTGCTTCTGTTAGGTCCATACCATTTCTGCCCTTTATTGCGCCCATCTTTGCATAAAATGTTCCCTTGGTATCTCTAATTTTCTTGAAGGGATCTCTAGTCTTTCCAACAAGCTATGGAAAATTCTTAAAGAAATGGGAATACCAGACCACCTGACCTGCCTCCTGAGAAATCTGTATGCAGGTCAGGAAGCACAGAACAACAGTTAGAAGTGGACATAGAACAACAGACTGGTTCCAAATTGGGAAAGGAGTATGTCAAGGCTTATATTGTCCCCTTGCTTCTTTAACTTACATGCAGAGAACATCATACAAAATGCCAAGCTGGATGAAGCACAAGCTGGAATCAAGATTTCCGGGAGAAATAGCAACAACCTCAGATATGCATATGACACCACACTTACGGCAGAAAGCGAGAAAGAACTAAAGAGCCTCTTCATGAAACTGAAAAAGGAGAGTAAAAAGTTGGCTTAAAACTCAACATTCAGAAAACTACGATCATGGCATCTGGTCCCATCACTTGATGGCAAATAGATGGGGAGACAGTGGAAACAGTGAGAGACTTTATTTTCTTGGGCTCCAAAACCACTGCAGATGGTGACTGCAGCCATGAAATTAAAAGACACTTGCTCCTTGGAAGAAAAGCAATGACCAACCTAGACAGCATGTTAAAAAGCAAAGACACTACTTTGCCAACAAAGGTCTGTCTAGTCAAGGTTATGGTTTTTTCCAGTAGTCATGTATGGATGTGAGAGTTGGACCATAAAGAAAGCTGAGCGCTGAAGAATGGATGCTTTTGAACTGTGGTGTTCGAGAAGACTCTTGAGAGTCCCTTGGACAGCAAGGAGATCCAACCAGTCCATCCTAAAGGAAATCAACCCTGAATATTTATTGGAAGGACTGATGTTGAAGCTGAAACTCCAACCCTTTGGCCACCTGATGCGAAGAATTGACTCATTTGAAAAGACCGTGATGCTGGGAAAGATTGAAAGCGAGAGGAGAAGGGGATGACAGAGGATGAGATGGTTGGATGGCATCACCGACTCAATGGACATGAGTTTGAGTTTGAGTAAGCTCCGGGAGTTCATGAACAGGGAAGCCTGGCGTGTTGCAGTCCATGGGGTCGCAAAGAGTCGGACATGACTGAGCAACTGAACTGAACTGAATGAATGGTGATATTGCACATCTTGTCATATACTCTTTGGTTCTTTGTAGATCTTAAGAGACATGTCTATTCAAGTCCTTTGTACTTAACTATAAGCAAAATGTTTACCTGTTTACACACAAAAACCTTAAGAAATGAAACTAATCTCAAGATCAAACACTGATTTACTCTCTTTCACTTAATGAGTACCTACTGAGCATCCACCACATGACAGGCACTGGAGGTCCACGAGTGGACCAAGAATGCACAGAAACAGTGGGACAGACAGAAAAGCAAGATGCTTTCACAAGACTACAAGGAGAAAGAAATTCCCTGATGAATCGTTCAAGCTTAAAATCAGGTGAGGTCTGGTCCTCAGATCCCACTGTCATCTCCACCCATGTGTCCCCTTCTCTAACCGAGTAGGTCCAGAATTGTTTCTGGCAGTGCCCCTTTCCTCAGTGGGCCCTGCAAGACAACACCCCGTGCATGAAATCAATCCCCTTCCCGTGTACCTTCAGAAAACTCCATGGCTCCAGCAAACACTAGGGCTGCAAATTCTCCCACACTGAATCCAGCAGCAGCAACACAGTTCTCAATAACCTGCAGGGACAGATGCAGAAGAACATGAGGCCGCATTCTCGGGGGAGTTCAGTCTGGGGCTCTGCACTTGCGCGCTGACGGTGTCCAGTGGTTCAGTGAGCCAGGGTCTGCTGGCCTCATGCTCCAGCTGGAGGACAACACACTGAAGTGGCCTCGAACATCACTGACCAGCCCTTTACTGATGAGGAACCTCCCTGGCAGTGGAGGTCAAACCCTGCCGTTGGACTCTGTGGATAAGCTCTGACTCCAACCCAGGGCTCTGGATTCTCCTGCTTCTGCTTCTCAGGCCGATGGAGACACAGGGCACTAAGTACAGAAGTTAACCGCATGACCTTCAGAGTCACAGAGAGCAGGATCTGATGCTCAGCCTGGGAGAGTTCCCTAACCTCCTTGCCTCAGTTATCTCATCTGTGAAATGGGCAGAGCAGACCTACCCCCCCCACAGGGTTGCTAAGAGAGAATTACATGGAGATAAGAGCTCTAAATCGCTCAGCACAGACCTGGCCCAGGATAATTACTGGATGAATGTTATTATCACGACTTCACAGGACCCCTCAAGCTAATTACTATCTCTGCCGTCCTCTTTCCCCATCCATAAAATAATGCTACCAACCTCACAAGGTTGTGGTGAGGATGAAATGGGGTAAAGCTCTGTCTTAACATGTTTTGATATTAAATCATCCCACAACTTCAAGTGAAGGGATACTTTCATCATCTTCTCAACGACCCTTCATAAAGGTTCATCCTTCTAAAACCGTTTAGTAATTCATTAAATGATTAAGGATCACTTACAATCGAAACCCAGCCCTTCATCCCCTTCACACACTAGGCAATTTTCACAGTATATTTTATTCTCTGCTATCTATCTCCCTGCAAGGAGATCCAACCAGTCCATCCTAAAGGAAATCAGCCCTGAATATTCATTGGAAGGACTGATGCTGAAGCTGAAACTCCAATGGTCTGGCCATCTGATGCGAAGAATGGACTCACTGGAAAAGACCCTGATGCTGGGAAAGATTGAAGGCGGGAGGGAGACCACAGAGGATGAGATTGGTTGGATGGCTTCTCCGACGCGATGGGCAAGAGTTTGAGTAAGCTCCGGGAGTTCATGAACAGGGAAGCCTGGCGTGCTGCAATCCATGGGGTCGCAAACAGTCGGACACGACTGAGCGACTGAACTGATCTATCTCCCTGCCCTAATACGCAAACACCGATTCTCGTTTTGCTCACGCCACTTTATCTCTTGCGCCTACAACAGCGCCTGGCACAGGTGGGACCTCAGGAAGGACCTGCCAAACCGAAGTCGGACGCGGGGAGCCCGGGGCCTCACCGCCGGTTGCAGGTGATGCAGTTTCTCCACGGCGGCCAGCGAAGCCACGAAGACAGCGGGCTGGCAGTGCACGGTGCGGTCCAGGGCCTCCTGCGGCCCGCGCAAGCTCAGCTCCAGCAGGTCGTAGCCGAGCAAGCGGCGGGCGGCGTCGTAAAGCTCGCGGACGCGCGGGTAGCGGAGCAGCCCGCGGCCCATGCCCACCACCTGGCTGCCCTGGCCGGGGAAGAGCAGCACAGAGCACTGGCCCGGCTCCCGCCGTCCCGCCGCCGCCTCCGCGTCCCGGGACCCTCCGTCCGCCGCGGTCGCCTCTCGCAGCAGCGCCGCCACGTCCACAGCAGCCGGCGGAGGCCGCGGCCAGTTCGAGAAGCCGCGGCGGCCGCTCACGCTTCGGGCCCAGGCCCGGGCGGCCCGTGCGACCCGGACACTCATGGTGAGGGAACCCGGCCCCCACGCGCGTCACCGGGGCGACCGAGGCCCGATATCCGGCGGCGCGGCGCGGTCCTTGACGTATTTCCCGCCGGGCGGGCCGAGGCACCAGCGGGGAGAAAGGTTCCGCAGGTACTAGTCCCCGCCCAGGCTCTGAAACTGGTGCCTGGGCTCTGGGGATCCGTGGGGCACTTGCTAATTTAAACCCGCGCGGGAAAGAAGAAAACAGCACACCGCACCCTGAGCCCTCATAAACATTTATGGACTAAGCAACTTAGCGCAATGTAATATTCAACCTAGCGATGGAAAAGTGCTTGAAACGTTTCCATGTTCTTTATTGTCTTTGATTAAGCACCAGTGCTGGGCTCTCTTTTATGTTAATAATTCCTGCAGCCCAGACGCTGTAAGCTTTCAGCAAACATCTGTTACACTGAACAGAGCCCTGGATGTTTTTCAAATATTAGCCTGTTTTAATTCCTCACAGTAACGCTATGGTTACTTTGGCCTTGGAGTACAGAATGAAGCAGGGCAAAGGCTAACAGAGTTCTGCCAAGAGAAAGCACTGGTCATAGCAAACACCCTCTTCCAACAACACAAGAGAAGACTCTACACCTGGACATCACCAGATGGTCAACACCGAAATCAGATTGATTATATTCTTTGCAGCCAAAGATGGAGAAGCTCTATACAGTCAGCAAAAACAAGACCAGGAGCTGACTGTGGCTCAGATCATGAACTCCTTATTGC